ACCCCAGGGTCCCCGTTGCCCTGGGGCTACCTCGAAGGCGCCGGAGCCGGCCGAGGGTGGCTCGCGGTGGCTCAGGAGGAGCACCCGCTCTTCAGCGGTAGCCCGCAGGAGGACACCCGGAGCCCACCGTGTGGCCGTGACCTAGCCGTGGTCCCCAGATCAGGCTGCGTGACCTTGGATAAGTCACTTCGTGTGTGAGCCTCGGTTGTCTCATTTGTTAAATGGGATGAATCTGCCTGCTAGGGCCGGAGTGGGATGAAGTGAGAACGTGCGAGTGAAGCACCATCGGGTATTCAGTAGGCGTCCAATAAATGATAGCTCCTGTCACTTCATTCCCAATCCCGTGAGGGGCCGAGGGTGCAGCTCAGTGGTACAGCGCTTGCCTAGGCTACGAGACGCCAGGGGGTTCGTCTCCAGCACCGCCGAGACGGACCCGCGGGGAAGCCCAGGTTTGAGACGGTTCTGTTTTTCCCAATTGATGTGGCCCTCGAGGCGGGGGAATTACCCAGCTGGGAATAGCTGTCACCAGCCTGTGTCCTCTACGGGGAAGAGACACAGCTTTCTTCCCAGCCCCTCAGGCAGCTGCCCGCAGGGAAGTTCGCCTTCAGCGCCACTCGGGTGATTTTCAGAGGTTTGGGGCGGCCTCTCTGAAGGTCTCTGGAAGCCGGAGCGGGTGTGAGGACCCGCTAGTGTTGCACCACCGGGCTTTCTCGCGCGTGTGTGTGGGGCGTCCTGCTTGGGGCACGGAGGTGAAAAGGGGAGGCAGAGTGGGCTGCAGCCACCTTCCCCTGCTCCTGCCCGGGGGCTGAAGCTAGCCCAGGGATGTGTAAACCTGTGGATTCAGGCAGTGCTGGGACCAAAAATAGCTTCTGTCTGCGCAGGGAGGGGGCGCCTTCAAGTGCTGCTAGGAAATGTTTCTGCTTGAATGGGCGAGCTGAGGTAAAGCCAAGCCGGTGCTGTGCCGCACGGAGTCGTTCCAGTGCCGCTCAGCGGAAATTTAGGCAGATACAGGTTTCTCTTGAGATGTTTTCTTTTAAAATATCATTAGAAAAGCTACTGCCCCCTTGACTTGTGCAGTATCTCAGTCTCTCCGGGGACCTGCTTTACAGAGGGGCCCAGGGCTGCCTGTCTCTGGGTTTGGGATATTCACAGAACCCTGTTTTTTTTCCCCCCCTACCAGCCTGGCAGGCTTGGCGTTCCAGTCGATGGGTTGCTTGGAGAAATTAACAGCTTCTGTGGCTGGGTTGTCTTGGTCTCGTGTAACAAGGCTGTTTTTGCAGAGCATATTTTTTTGTTGTTGTTGCAGTGTGCTGGGAATAAATTGCTGGCTCTGTGCTCGGCAGAGACATCAGCTCTGACCAGCCACAAGGCAGCCTGTATTCTCCGAAAATGTATTCAGCAAAGATGATGTAACTGTTTCACCACTGGCCAGCCTTTTCCTTGGCCCTTGAGGTTACATCATAGAGATTTGTGGTTCTCTCAGCCCCGTTCTGTGTGGGTAGCTGGCAATTTTGCTACTAGAGGAATTTTTAGCATTCAGTTCTGCCATAGGTCAGTCCGAGCTGAGTGAGCCTTTCTAACTAGAGCCGTCCAGCTAATGGAGCCTTGCTGGGTGCCTCGCGTCGGTGCTGGAGTTTTGGTGTTTGACTTAGTTCGGATCCCAGATCCATTTCTTCCACCCATGGGGCCCACAGCAAGTGAGTTGGCCTCCTGAGCCTCAGTTTCTTCTTTGATTTTGGGGTCATCATTTGGAGTTCATTGGTTTCTGGAGAACAGTTCATACAGGGCCCTTACACGGAGACCCCAGTAAATGGTACCAACTGTCACAATCCCCGAGGAGGACACTGGGAGAAAGCCAGCCTTTATGGCCAGCCAGACTGAGCTGAACTTCCAGTACTACATGGGCATGGTGGCTTATGCCTGTAACCTGATTATGAGGGAGGCCAAAACAGGAAGGTTGCTGTGAGTCCAAGACTACATAGAGAGCTCCGGTGGGTTTGAACTTCGCAGTGAGACCCTGTCTCAAAAAAACAAACAAAAAGAAAAGAAAAGAAAATTCCAGTAGTAATTTTTTCCACCTCTGTTGGGCAGGTTGGCCACTGGCTGAGCCTCAGTTTCCTCAGAATTTGAGAATTAAATGGGAGATACAGTTGAAGTGGGATGCCCGCAGGAGGACCTTACTAATTATCAGCCTCATTCTCCTTTTCCTTAATTACTTCTAGCATCTCACCTTCTCTCACCTCTGTGCTCTTTGGAGGTTGGGGTAAAGTTCTCAGATTTCCCAACCTTGTTTCTAGAACTTTGACCCGTATAGGCCCTGTAGATCCTTTTTCCTTGTTTACTGCTTGCCAGCAACTGCAAGGGCGTGGGCCGTTTTAGGCTGTGCTGCTGGAGTGAGCAAGTGGGTATGTGGATCTTCTCTGGGTCACAGAGCAGAGTTAAATAAGAACTGAGTTTCTTTTCTTTCCTTCTTTTTTAAAGAAATATATTTGGTGCAGGGTCTCACTACATAGCTTGGACTTGTAGTGTTCCTCCTGTTTTTAGCCTCCCCAGTGCTGGGATTACAGGCATGCACCACCACTCCCCATCTCACTGGCCTGCTCAGCTCACCCAGAGAGCAGGGCTGGCACAGCATGTGGTGCTGGGGATTGAACCCTGGTCTGTATGCTTGCCTAAGGGGGCGTTTAGTCCACTGAGCTATTTGGCCGGCCCTGTTTTTAGTTTTTGTTTTTTTCTTTTTGAGACAGGGTCCTCTATACAGCTCAGGTTGGCGTTGAGCTTACTTTGTAGTCCAGCCTGGTCTTTTTTTTCTTCTTTTTTTGGCCCAGCCGGGGATTGAACTCCGGCCCTTGTGCTTGCCAGGGAAGCGCTTATTCCACTGAGCCATCTCCTCGGCCCCTTAGCCTGGTCTTGAATGAGCAATGATCCTCCTGCTTCAGCCTCCTGAGTGCTGGGATCACAGACATGTGCTACCGCACTGGCCACAAGAAATAAGTCTGAGGGTGGCTGACTTTGTTTAAAAAAAATTACTGGGTATGAAGGAGCACACGTGCAATTCTAGCACCTGAGAGGCTGAGGCAGGAGGACCATTGCAAGTTTGAAGCCAGTCTGGGCTACTGTAAGTTAGTTCAAGGCCAGCATAAGCAACATAGCAAGACCCTGTTTAAAAAAAAAAAAAAATCACTTTGAGCTTATGGCTGATGTCCTTTGAGGAAAAAAATTGCAATTTGTGTTTCTTTCCTCCTTCAGTGGTGGGAACCCAGGGCTCAAGCTTGCTGGGCAAGTGTTTTTACCACAGAGCCAAGCTTCCAGCCCCTTGATGTCATGTTCAACCATCCTAGAAAGCAGCCCTGGGACCAGAGGCAGGGTGAGGAAGCTTTTCTTGTGTAAAGCCCAGGAAATGCAGAGCGTAACAGGAAGAACAGCAGCTGGCATCTTTTGGAATGCCCCATCATTAGGTGTGAAGACAGTGCGTATCTTTCATTCCGGGTGCTGAGCTGTCCAGTTAAGGGAAGGCAGGCTCTGCTGTCTTCACTATGGGCCTTTTCCCTACCCACTGCTCCAGATAGGAGGTGGGTGCCCGCAAATACCTGCTGGACTCGGGAATCATGGCTGTCAGGGGAACACGGAAGGCAAGGTGTGGCGTCGTGGCTCCACCTTCTGCTGACCTTGAGCTGCCTGTAGGTTATCATGCCCTCTTCTGGAGCCCATTTCTTCTCCCCAGATGATCTCCCAGGATTCGTAGGGGGGAACTCATAGTCTCATGTATGCCCACTTCCTTTTTTTTTTTAAATTAATTTATTTATTTATTTGTGTGTGTGTGTGTGTGTGTGTGTGTGTGTGTGGCCAGCTCAGCCCACCAGGGGGCGGGGCTGGCTGGCATGTGGTGCTGGAGGATTGAACCGCGGTCCCTGTGCTTTGCTAAGCTTGTTCTAAGTAGGTGCTTTAGACCACTGAGCCATCTCACCAGCCCCTGCCCACTTCCTTTGCATCATTCATGTTACCTAGTTTATCAAACCCTTACTGTGCATCAGGGTCTGTGTTAGGTATTGTAGTGATCAAAACAGGGGCCGGCCTGATAGCTCAGCGGACTAAAGCACCTGCTTAGGCAGAGCACAGCGGCCGGGGTGCTGGCCCCACCTGAGAGTGTGTGAGATGGCAATTGATTGTTGTTGTTGTTTTTGGTTTTTTGCGGAACTGGGGATTTAACTCAGGCCTCAGGCCCTTGCACTTGCCAGGCAAGCGCATATTCCACTGAGCTATCTCCCCAGCCCCTGAGATGGCAATTGAGACTGAGTATGGTGGCATTTGCCTGTAATCCCAGCACTTGGGAGGCTGAAAACAGGAGAATCTCAATGATTCTCAATGATTATGTAGACCAGTCCTAAATAAGAAAACAAAACAATAACAACAACAAAAAAGAAAACCAGGTACAACCCTTGCCTTTTTGGGGTTTGCTGGTTATTGGAGGTGGCAGTAAAGAGAAGTAAGTGAATATGTGGACAGTTTTAAGTTCTGGCTATCCTGAGGTGACATCATGGGGAGGGACCAGAAAGGTGAGAATTATTCCAGATGAAGGGTCAGATGGCGTGATGGCACACGCCTGTAATTCCAGCTACCTTACCTGGTTTGTTTTTGGCTTTTAAGACCAGGTCTCACTATGCAGTTCAGGCTGGCCTTGAGCTCACTTTGTGGCCCAGGCTGGCCTACAACTTGAGGCCACCCTCCTGCCTCAGGCTCCTGAGTACTGGGATTACAGTCGTGCACCACCATGCCTGGCTCATTTGCAGCTACTTGGAAGGCTGAGGCAGGCGGATCACAAGTTTGAGGTGAGGCAGTATGACATGGTGAGGGGGGAAGAACATGATCGTGTCCTGTCTCAACATAGAAATGGCTGGAAGGTGTGGGTCAGCGGAAGAGCATTTGCCCAGCTTGTGTGAGGCCCTCAGTTCTGCCCCCCATAGTGCCACCCCAAGTTGAAGAGTCAGGAAGGGCCTCTGAGCTGTGGCCTTAGTGATGAGGTAACTTAGCTATGGAAAGAATCCAAAAAAAAAAAAAAAAAGAATCTCTGAGACTGAAGTGCGCGTGGGTGTTTGAGGCCCCGGCCCCACGCAGGTGTAGCCTACACAGTGGTGCGCAGCAGCGTCTGGTCTCGCCAAGTGAGCAGTGCTCCGGAGGCAGGATTTCCTCCCTGAGGAGCCTCCTGTCAGGTTCCTTTCTCCTCAGGGCTGTCTGCCACTGTAGCACTGGGTTCTTGGGCAGCGTAGTAAGTGGATGAAGGTGGTCTTTTTGTGTTCTGGGTGTTTTGGGCTTGCATGGGGAATGGACTCAAAGGCCCTATATGTCATCGGCAAGAGTTCCACCTCTGAACTATGAATGTTTTGTCTTGGTTTGGTTTCTGAGACAGGGTCTCTCTATGAAGCCCAGGCTGACCTTGAGCTCATGTGATCTTCCTGCTTCAGCCTCCTGCCTGCTGAGATTACAGATGGCACCATGCCCATGAGGATGATTTTCTTGACTTCATGATAGTTTCCAGGCCCTAGGCCTTTAAGACACTAGCACAAAGCCAGAGTTAGAGGGCTTCACAGGCCACCTCACCCCACAGGAGTGTCTCTCCCACCCCTTGTGACCTCCCCCAGTCTGTGGGTCAGAGGTGCATTTGGAGCACATACTCCACCGCAGGCACCATGCAGAGCTTAGCCTGGTGCAGAGCACAGTGGTCACAATCGGAGGGACTTCTGGGTAGGAAAGGCAAGGCAGGAGGGGGTGAAAATACTCGGCTGCAGCCCCCTGGGGAGCACCGCCTGCTCTGATGGTGCTTTGGGGAGTGTAGAGCACCGCCAGAACAGGAGTGACTGTCATGGGCATCCTCCGAGCCAGCCTGCTGTGCAGTGCTCAGATACTGGTTGTGCAGACACTGATTTTGGATTCAGATGAGAAAATACCCAGAGCAGCCCAAGTGAGGAGGACTAGCCCTAGGCTCCACACCCAGGTGCTCTGGCTCTGGGCCCTGTGTTTTTTTTTGGTTTTTTTTTTTTTTTTTTTTTTTTTTTTCTGTTTTTGATCCCAGGAATCGAACTCATGACCTCATGCGTGCCAGGCAAGTGCTGTGCTCCTGAGATATGTCCCAGCCTTTTTTTTTTTTTTTTTTTGCGGAACCACTGAGCCATCTCCCCGGCCCCTGTCCCAGCCTTTTTTGAGGCGCTTTCAATATGCAGTTTAGTCCGGCCCTGAATTCTCTTTGTAGCCTGGATGGCCTTGAACTCGCAGGGATCAGCCTGCCTCAGCCTTCTGAGTACTGGGATTATAGGCGAGCAACCCCAGCCCAGCTTGGACTCTGGGTTTCCTGGTGCCTCCTCTGCCCTGGCCCTTGTTGAGTCCAGATTTTCCCAGTGTTGCTGCAACAAGAACACGGCTGGGGGCCAGGGAGATAGATCAACAGCGTAAGCACCTGCCTGGCAAGCACAAAGTACTGAGTTCAGTCCCTGGTACCAAAAAAAAAAAAGCATTGCTGGATCTGTGCAGGTTCTACTAACAGGTGGCTGAGGAGAAAATGACTCCGTAAGTCTTGTGTCCCAGCTGGGAGCAGGCACTTCTTCCCGACAGGGACTGTCCGGTGCTGTGGAGATAGAGGGAATGCAGTGAGCGGAGCACCACCGGGCAACATCGGCCAGGGTGGGCGTGCCTCAGACCTAAATGTGATCACGTCTCTCCCCACTTTAACCACTTCAGTGGCTTCCCGTGGCTCTGAATAGGTAAAACATAAAATTCTTTTCTTTGTGCTCGGGAGCTAACCCAGGACCTCGCACATGCAGAGCAGGCGCACTACGTCTGAGCTACCCCCAGCCCCCACAGAAGCGTGAGATCCTGGGTGTGCACTTGAAGGCCTCAGGGTCAGGCCCCAGCGGTGGCCTTTCCCTCCATCTGCTGTCCTAGCCTCGGCCTAGACTCCTCCTTTCTGTGCCAATCTCCTTCCTGCCTCAGAAAATCAGGGTGTGGCAGGGAAAGGCCCAGTCCACGTGGCCTGGGTGCCGAGCTCAGCTCTGTGCTTCTGTGTCTTGGCTTTTACCCAAGGCCTGCAGCGGCCCAGGCTGCCGAGAGGAAAGGAGCCGGCGTGGCTGCCGCGATCTGCGGCCCAGCTAGCATGGCCCTCCTCTCTGCAGAGTCCACTCAACCTGAGCCCTGTGGGTGCCTCCTCTGGGTGACATCTCTGTGTCCTCTGAGCTCCATAAAGCCAAGGTCTCCTGCCAGGGTCGGGGCCCCTCCCACCTTCACCTCTCATCCAGGGCACATTGTGCACCGATGTGGAGGGCCCCGAGGAGCCTGGGCTATTCCTGGGTTTTGTGTGGCCTCAGTGGTGAGAAGCTGGTGTGTGGACATTGGGAGGAGTGACATGCTGCTTGTTTCTCCCCCAGAGCCCTGCGCTGGTCCAGCAGGCGGCACATCAGGACTTTCAGCGATGCCCCTGCCTGCTACCCGGAAGCCACGGAGGAAATGAGGTAGCCTCGTGGCGCAGGGGGGAAGCCCAGTTCGATGGATACGAAGTATAAGGACGACTTATTTCGGAAGTATGTGCAGTTCCACGAGGGCCAAGTGGACGCCGCTCCCGGCAAGCAGCGGCATGGCAGCGATGAGCATCTCCGGGTGGCCGCCTCGACCCTGCTCAGCCTGCACAAGGTGGACCCCTTCTATCGATTCCGGCTGATCCAGTTCTATGAGGTAGTGGAGGCCTCCCTGCGCTCACTGAGCTCCTCCAGCCTGCAGGCTTTGCACTGCGCCTTCAGTGTGTTGGAGACGGTGGGCATCAACCTCTTCCTGTACCCGTGGAAGAAGGAATTCCGAAGCATCAAGGTGAGCGCATGGGTGGCCGGCCACACTGGCATTTTTTTTCTCCTTTCTTGCTGCTTCCAGTCCATCCTAGGAGGGGCTCTGCACTCGGGCCACCTCTGTCCCCTGCTGTCAGAGCTCCAGTGGGGGGTGTTGGGAGAGATTCTGCAGGCCTCCAGGTGTGGGGCAGGGGGCCGGCACAGCTCAGGCTCTTACATCTTCAGATCTTCCCTGAAGGGTCAGAAAAGAGGAGTCTCAGCACTTCCGGGGAGTTCTGCCTGAGAGCCCAGCCCCACTACCAGCTGTGTTTGCCCTGGGCTGCTCTACTTCTCTGCTTCAGTCCCCTCAGCCTCAGGAGGGTTGGGGGAATCTCCTCACATGTGCCTCTGCCCGCCACAGGCACAGCCACCAAGCCCCCCCCATGAGTGGCCTTTGCCTTAATGTCGTGTGTCTCACAGACAGCCCCACTTCTGTCTTCTGCCCCTTCTTTCCCCAGACCTACACAGGCCCTTTTGTTTACTATGTCAAGTCCACGTTACTGGAGGAGGACATCTGCGCCATCCTGAGCTACATGGGCTACACGCCCGAGCTGGGGACTGCGTACAGGCTCAAGGACCTCGTGGAGAGCCTCCAGGTGAAGATGGTCTCCTTCGAGCTCTTTCTGGCCAAGGTGGAGTGCGAGCAGATGCTGGAGATCTATGCGCAGGTGAAGGACAAGGGCTACTCCGAGCTGGACGTGGTGAGCGAGCGCAAGAGTAGCACAGAGGACGTGCGTGGCTGCTCCGGTGCCCTGCGGCGGCGGGCTGAAAGCCGGGAGCACCTGGCTACTTCCATGGCCCGAGTGGCGCTGCAGAAGTCAGCCAGCGAGCGGGCAGCCAAGGACTACTACAAGCCCCGTGTGACCAAGCCCTCCAGGTCGGTGGACGCATATGACAGCTACTGGGAGAGCAGGAAGCCACCTTTGAAGGCCTCACTGAGCCTGCGGAAGGATCCTGGGGCTGATCTGGGGGATGACTTGAAAGACGAGATCATCCGCCCATCCCCCTCTCTCCTGGCCATGTCCAGCTCCCCCCACGGCAGCCCAGACGACCTTCCTCCCACCTCCCCAAACAATGGCCTCGGGCTGATGCGCAGCACGTACTTTTCTCCTCAGGATGACGTGGACCTGTACACTGACTCGGACACCAGGGCCGCGTACCGCAGGCAGGATGCTCTGCGACCAGATGTGTGGCTTGTTAGAAATGACGCCCACCCCCTCTACCACAAGCGATCACCCCCCGCCAAAGAGTCTGCCCTTTCCAAGTGCCCAAACTGTGGCCTGGCCTGCAGCACTGCCCTCTGCCAGCGCTGTGACAGCCTGCTGGCCTGCCCCCCTGCCCCTAAGCCCAGCGCCTTCTCCGTCAAAGCTGCTGCCCTCGACAGCCTGACCCATGGGGCGCCTCTGCGGGAGAAGCACACGGGCCAGGCTCCAGCCCTCGACCGGCTGCCACCTCTGCACTCCAAGTCCAAGCCCTCCACTGCAGCCACCTCCCGCTGTGGCTTCTGCAATCGCCCAGGAGCCACCAACACCTGTACCCAGTGTTCGAAAGTTTCCTGTGACGCCTGCCTCAGCGCCTACCATTATGACCCCTGCTGCAAGAAGAGCGAGCTGCACAAGTTCATGCCCAACAACCAGCTGAACTACAAGTCCACCCAGTTCTCCCACCTCGTGTACAGATAGACCCCCTCTGGCACCTTCCTGCTACAAGGGCTACACCACTGACCTCCTGGTCCCCTGGTGAAGAAGTATTAATGCGTCCAGCAGAAGCAGAGGCCTGAACTTGACCATGTAGATAGCGGGGACCTGGCTGGCCGCACCTCATGAGAGTCACTTAGTGACTCTCATTTCAGCTGGTGGCTGCTCTGGTGGCTGCTCTGTCGTCTGACAAGGAGAGGGTAGCACTTTCATTTAGATTCAGTTTCACTAATCTCTCCACTCCCTGTTCAGTTGGGTTTTGGTTTGGTTCGGTTTGGTTCCCCCTAAAGAGGATTTCTGCCTTGGGCTTCCCACAGTGACGCTGACATGACTGGGAAAGGCCCCTTGGGTCACCTCCAGATGCCCCCCTGTGGTGGCGAGCTAGAGGCCTGTTGGCTTGTGAAATGAGCCCTCCTGCCACACCGGGCCTCTCCTGACGGCTCACCTTTCAGCCATCCTGTTGGCGCACATGAGGGGCCTAGCTGGACTCCCTGTCCTTTTTGTGTCAGAGGCGAGGCGAGACGAGTCCAGTGTGAGCTGAATGTCATCGTGTGGCCAGCACAGCTCTGCCAGCCTACAATGTGTATGCAGGTCACCCAGACACGCTGACCAGTGGGCTGTCTGCAGAACTGAGCTTCCCTTTCTGTTGTTTGCACATGCCCCTCTTACTGTACTGTAAATAGATATTTTTGAGATTTATTTTTAAATAAATATTCTACTTGCTATGTGTTTCAAAGTGGTTAAAAATTAATTATGTAGCTATTTATGAGAATGCCCTGGGTTCTTAGTCTTCCAAGGGAGGCCTCGTGCCCTTTGCTGTCGGATCTTCCACTCGCCAGGGTGGAGTGGCGTTTGGGGCAGGGGAGGAGCTGAGGCAGTGGCACTTTCCTCGAGGTGGTAGAGAGCCGCCGTTGTCCCTCGCCGTCTTCCCTCCAGTAACCACTACACACCTACCTCCGGCGTGCACTCGGGGTTGGCGCGGTGCTGAGGTCTGCGCCTGCAGACTGCAATGGCCCAGCGATGATTCGGGGGGTGACAGCCCTGGTTTTGGCCTGCTGATCGTTCCCCTTGCACTCCAGACTTCTTGAAGCTTGTTCAGAAGGAAGACTTTTTGGGTTTCCCACGCCCCTGCACCTCCGTCCTCCTCTGCACAGTTTCCAGCACTCATCTACAGCAACATTAGCAATCTCTTTGCACTAATGGGGCAGGAGTTGGCGGTCCCTCAGATGGACAAAGCCTCGCCTCTGCGCTGCCAGACCCGAAGGCCCTTGACTCCTGCGGGAATCCCTGAGAGCCAGCTTTTCTTTTGGGGGTGCAGAGCAGGACCGAGGGGAGACTTAGAAACTAAGTTGCCTCCTTGTGAACTTCTATGAACTTCTATTTTAGCCATAAGTGTTTGTGATGCGCACACTTGGGGGCTTCTGCGCAGCAGAGCTGGGCAGGAGAAGCGCAGCTCCTGAGCAGGCTGGAGTCTGTCTGGATCCTGAGGCCACTGTGAATTTGCCGACTTTCTTCCAACTCAGTTGCGCGGTTTTAAGGTTTTCCAAATCTTATATGGCTCTTTTATATATAGATAGATAGATAGATACGTGTATATATAGCTACAGATGCCTATCTGGTGGGTCACATGTAGATATCCAATGTGCATATAAAGTTGGATTTCAACCACCTGCGTTACTGAGCGGCCTATGGGCATCCAACTCTGCTCCTCCCACGTTTCAGAACTGGCGATGCCTGGCCCACTCCTGAGAGCTCTAGTTTTCTAGTTTTCCATTTCCAGATTGCTCCAGCATTAAAGTAACTTAACCAGCCGTGATGCCACGTCATTTACAGTGGACAGAAGCAGGGACAACTAAGTTATCCGAAGAAAACAAAGTCCAGTGTGCCTCCCATCGCAGACATACTGAGTTCATAGACTGGAACAGGAGATGCTGCGGCCATGCTCCTCCTTGCTGTGTATCTTACTGTATGAGGTTGCTGTGATTAAGATAGTTCTGAGTATATGCTAATTTAAAAACGCAGATGTTTTGCATTTGATTTCTACCAAGAGTTGAAATGTTGAGAGATGATTTTAAAAAATAAAGTGTCTTCCATTGTTAAATGAAGTGGTCTGGGGTCTTACGTCCTTTGTCTTCCCTACTATTTAGTCTTTTTGAGACAGGGTCTTGTTAGGCAATTCAGACTGGCCTTGAGCGCACTTTGTAGCCCAGGCTAGTTTTGAACTCGCAACTCTGGAGTGCTAGGATTATAGACACGTCCTTGCACCATGTCCAGCTTGGTTACCACAGTTAGCCCTATACAGCAGGACTCCAGTTGCCCCTCCATTAAACTGACAAGGGGCCTGGGGAGATGGCTCAGTAGAATAAGCGCTGGCAAGCGCAAGGGCTTGAGTTCAATCCCCATTTCCACAAAAAAAAAAAAGCAAACCTGACAAGTAGTAGTTGGGCCTCAAGTGCTGAGCTCATGTAGCAGTCCTGATTGTGCTGCGTGGCAGTGCTGCCACCCACTCCTGGAGAGGAAGGAGAGGCGGGGTTAGGCCTTGCTCTCCACGGTGGAGCGAGTCCGCCAGGAGAGGCCAGTCCTCTGAGCGGCATGGCGTAGTATCGGAGGACGTTGTTGAGAAATGAGCCAGCCATGGTGGTGCACGCAGGAGATCCCAGCACTTGGGAGGGGAAGGGAAGATTGTCTCAAGGCCCAAGACAGCCTGGGCTATGCAGGGAGTTCAAGGCCAATCTGAACGGTATAGTGAGATCTTATCTCAAAAAATTCCAAGATGAAAAATTCTATCCCTGTACCTTCCTTAAAGAGGAGTTCAGTTTAATTCTCCTAGTTATGCCTCGTCTTTTTTTTTCCCCCAGTACCAGGGATTGAGCTCAGGACCTTGCACTTGCCAGGCAAGCACTTATTCTATTGAGCTATCTCCCTGGCCCTCGTCTTATTATTTTGCTCTTACTGTGCTACAATGAAACACAGGGCACATTCCTGCTGAGCCACACTCAGGCCCAGCTGCCTTGCCTTCAACTAAGAGTAAGCAGCGTCCCGCTCAGCGCCTGGGGCTGGATCTCAGCTGGGTTTTCATTTGTCTTGTCAGAACAGGTCATACCATTTTTCATCTGCAGTAATGATACGTTTCAAAATTCATTCAAAGTGCTTGGGAGGCCGAGGCAGGAGATTCGCTGAGTCCAATGCCAGCCTGGCCTACATATCGAGCTGAAGTCCAGCTTCAACTACATAATGGAACCCTGTCTTTTTTTTTTTTTT